AATAATACTTCAATTTTTAAACTATGTGTGCTTTATGTGTGGATGTTTTGCCTCCATGTGTGTCTGTGAACATATATGCTTGGTGCCTGGGAGTGTCAGAAGAGGACATCAGATCCACCGAGCTACAAATGGTCATGAACCACCTTGTAGGTGATGGGAATCAAACCAAGGTCCTCTGCAGGAGCAACGGGTCCTCTTAAACACTGAGTCATCTCTCCAGCCCCAAACTAAGTCTTAACCTGCTATAATATAGTCTTAGATCTTTACCAAGACAGCATGCTTACACTTCTTTATGACTATGTTAGCTTGCTATTTCTGTGACTAAATACCCAATAAAACAAAGTAGAAAGATTTATTTTGGCTAATGGCTTTGGAGATTTGAGGTGGCTGGCTATGCTTCTTTCATCTGTAGTACACAATGTATCATGTCACAGAGACTTCTTAATTTAGGAAGAAAAAGAGGCACCAGTGTCTCAAAGTCCACTCCAACAACCTTCCACTATTTCTTACCTTCTAAAGGGTCCCTCTCTTCACCACAATGCCTCAAACTGGGGACCAAGACTTCAACATCTGAACATTTGATTGACAGTCAAGTCCAACCTTAAAACCACAGCAACAACAAAAGCAACCAAACTTGAATGGTCCAAGTAGAATCTGGTGGTTCTTTGAAGACCATAAACTATCATGTAAATTTGAGTTACTTTCAAACATGGTTGCCGTTTCCCATTAGGGTTCTAAATGGAGCCATACACAGAAACTCCATCTATTTGTGGATGAGGGTTTAGTGGATAGCTATAACAAACATGGTCTGTTCTCAGCAGAAGGTTACGGGGAATACCTTATTGTCATGATTATGAAAGTATTCTCCTGAGAGAGTTTAATCCATTCTCTCTACCTACATGTTACTTTATATTGTGTTTCTGCACAATCAAAGATGCACTTTGAAAGTAGCATCCTCACTCTTGGAAAGCCAAGGGTGTCTCGGTACTTCTGTAGTGTTCTGACTGAACTGTTTCTCTTTCTAAGATGTGGGTACGAAATTAAAGGAAGTATGCATGTCTCACAGTTCACAGTTCTAAAATGAGAACAATCACTAAATTACCAGTCACTTAACAATGAATACTGAGAGTAAACTCTCGGGTTAAGAAGTGGTTAAATTTTTTTTGGAAGTGTATATTTTTAAGTCCCGGTATTTTGGAACTCTTAAATTTAGCCACTAGACAAACTCAGTCATCATTAGTCAGACTTAAGACATGGTTTCAAAGGTCAAGCTTCCATCAAAGCAAAGAATGCAAGGCACATCTCTTGAGTGTTCTAGTGGTCTCTCCCTAGAAGAGCTGATTGCTAGAACTGTGGGTCTTCACAGTTTGCACAGGAACCCTCTTTGAGGAATGCCTAGGGTGAACTGTGAATTTCATGCATAGATCAATGATTCGAACTCTATGAAGTCAGGAATAAAGTATCATTTGGAAACATCATTTCTTTGTCAATAAAATGAAGAGGCTAACTCACTTGATTTAATTCACTTGAAAAAGGAAAGATTCACTTTAATTAAACTACAAACAATGCCGATGCCTGCAGGTCTGTGTTCCAGACCCAGGGACAACCGCACTGCAAGCGGAATGTAAGCAGCCTCTGCAGCAGGCTGGAGCCGTGTTCAGTGAAAGTAATTTAATTAGTGTTGATCATGACTCCAGATGATGGTGATTTGATAAGGAATAATTTAGTACTTAACAGCCTTTTACATGCACCAACTCCATGTGGGAAGGTACAGCAAATTGCACGAAATGAATGTGCTGCTTTCTCTTGCGCTGGTGCCAATGATCTGGAAAAACCTCCTATTAGCAGACGCTAAGCCTCGAGTCCTGTGATGAAATATACCTAGCCAGCTTCCAGCTCAGCCCTCTCTACCCAGAGTCTCTACATCCCCCATGCAAAGGTTAAAAAAAGAAGTTGTATACATGAAGTCATAGGTAGGGTCTCCAGTAGGCAAACAAGCTAAAATGAGGAACATAAGAGAAACCTCATGTTCCTGTGCTGATAATTGAAGGCTTCAGTTTGGCTTTAAGTTTTATTTCCCACCTGCAGAAATTAAACAACAACAACAACAACAAAACTTAAAAAAAAAAAAAACACCAAGAAACCAAAAAAACAAAAATTCCTGGGCATCTTAGATCTGTCCCGTTAGTCATTGGGCTTCTGACTAGTAAAGACAAAATGAATCCCTGCCCCATGATGGTTAACAGCCCCACATGCATAGACTGAAGCTGTAAAGATAGCCAAAGCCCTCCACTGCTAGAGCTGGAGATCTACAAGATGAAGAGCTTACAGGTGCTGGCACCTGGATGGGTTTTTCAAGTGCTGGATCTGTTTGAATGCAATGTACATTGGTATTGCCAAGCCTCATGTTGGAGACAGCATTTGTCCAGTTATGATAATCCTCTAGAAATTTCTGTAACATAAAATCATTACACAGCCAGCTTGGTGACAAAAATTACTGAGAACGGGGCATTAATTTGATTGGGCTGCAATAACGAAGTGTCATGTCCTGGGTGGCTTAAAAACAGGTATGGCTTGTCTTAATTTTCAGAGGTTACAGAGCCACGTGAAGATGTGAACAGGGCTCTGAGGAATAAGATCTACTCCACACTTCTTCCCCCAGTCTCTGCCACTTTCTTGTCTATCTTTAGCATTTCATGGTTTGCAGAATCCTCAACCTTGATGTCTTCCTTCAGCTTCATGGGATGCTCTCTCAAGTCCATATCTCTTGTCCACATCTCTCCTTTTGGTAAAAATGCCAGCCATGAAGTTACAGCTTAACTTAGAGACTTAATTTAACTGAGCCTCTGAACAAAACCACATACTTAACACAGAAGGAAAGCTTTACACTCCCAGTTAGCTTTGTTTTGGAAATTGCAGGGCTTAACTCCATAGCTGTGAGAGCATCTGTGTTTGTGGACCTGTTGGAAGGCACTTTATTCCTGCTATTTCTGAATGTTCTTTGCCTGCAGATGCCATGGTTTACTGATTTACCTCCACCAAGGAATATTTAAAACATTTTTAGTTTTCTTTTCATGAATAAACTCTCACAAACACTTCTACATACGTCTTTTGGGGAACATATGCACTCCTTTCTCATATATGCATACACACATACATGAGAATACATATTAGTGTATTTACTAGATCATAAGGCACATTCATCTTGTACCTTGAAGGTAGACACACCCTTTTTGGAGATGCTTATACCAACCCATCCTCTTAGCAGCATAAATGAGAGTGCCAATTATTTTTTCTTCAGTATCAGTATTGTTAGAACTTACATTTTAGTTTTTCTAATGAGTATTTGGTGATAATTTGTGCTTTTATTGGCAATTTCCTGATGAGCAAAATTTGATTACATTTTCACTTATTTTGTTATCCACTCTGTCTTGCTATTAGGGTATTTTCTCTTATGAATCACTTGTCCAAGTCTTTTGTCCATTCCAGTTGTTCATTTGTATTGCTATACAACAATTCCTTCTATGTTAAATAAGAATTATTTAGAAGATCTTTCTGTTGCAAGCATTGTGGAACTCATGGCTTTTCCTTCATTCTTCTAATGGTACAATTAAAGAGACAATTTTAATTTTAGTAAAGCTTAATTTGCTAATTTTTTCTTTCTGTTTAAGTGTAGTTTGCAAGCTGTATTTTATTAATCTTTTCATACCCTTTATACAAAAATGTAGAAATATAGCATCTTAGGTCTTCACAATTTTTTATTCATGGAAATTAAATCTGAGTTCCCAGATCTTTAAGTTTCTTCTCTGAGGGCAAATTGATTTAATAGAATGTAAACCTAGGTTTTAATTCAAGGTGCTAGAAATTTAGTACATGTATTTTGTTGTCTATGTTCACAGAGCTAGTAAATAATTAAGTTTTGCCAAAGATACCAATAAATACGTTGCAACATACATGTTTGTTATTCTAAGAATTACTGCAAGAGTACACACACATGTATTACATGTATACAGGAGGAGAAAGTTTTCTTAATGGACATTGTGAATGCTTTTGTGGTTTTCTTTTCCATGGATCAGAATTTTTATCATGGACATTTAATAGTGAAATAAATCTAAAGTGAAAATAGTGATCCCTTGAGTGATCATCAGACTTTTAAAAATACAGTGAAATTTATTAGTTGGTTTTATAGTCATAAAATAAGCACATTTATGTGAATATATGTATATAGATTTCCTATAGTGTATATTTTATGACATAATCTAGATTAAATTAAGCACAAATGAATGTACATGAACTGTAACTGTGCTTTAAACACAGCTACACACTAAATTATATGAACAAGGAGAACACCATTTGATACAGAATAATTTTTATTACAGATTTCATATAATGAAAAACTTTCATGTATCATATTTTATCTTCATAGTTTTGGTAAACAGATAGGCAGGTAGTTCAGTTTCTGTTTGAAAAATAACTATCAGCCTCAAAGATGTCAGCGCTTCTCCTTACTATAGGCTTTCCTTTGGACCTACACCTAAGAAGTTCTTTGTCATGAGTCATGAAATCGTTGCTACTGAAGCATTACTACTGAATAACACCTAAAGCTTTACTCCAGCCTCGACTCACAGTTGCATTTTTTTCTCTGTTTTAGTCATTGGAAATCTTTATGACATGTTTTCAAAATTTCTTTTCTGAAAACTGAGCTTCTAGAATTGTTAATATCAGCAAAGCAAATTACTAATGATTTGATTTACTTTAGCAGAAAAAGATTTCAGGCTTGGATTTTGTTACACACTATAAGCAGAAAGGGGGGGGGGTACAGAGCACAGAACATTTCCAGAATCCTTTCAGCCTCATGGATTACCAAATTTCATTGTTCTTACAAGCATAAGTTACTATGAAATGTTAATGATACTTTAAATAAGAGACTAAAACAAACTAATAGACTTAATTCCTAATTGAATTGAATCTTTATATGGATATTTTTGTTCTGTTTTTAGTGGCTTTTCATGGCCTACCACTGAAAATCAAGAAAGAACCCCACAGCCCATGTTCAGAACTCGGGTCTGCCTGCAGTCAAGAGCAGCCCTTTAAATTCAGCTATGGAGAAAAGTGCCTGTACAGTGTCAGGTAAGCAGTTCAGTGCTCTCATAGAGAGCAGCATTGCTTTCTGAAACAGAAAGTACAAGATGATATAACAATCTCAAGTCAATTTTATGGGTTACATCTTCATTCTATAATAAGCTAATTAGGTAATGTATTCAGCAGAGCTCTAAAGACCCATTTGCCATACAATCACACATGTTAGTGTCATTTTAAAGTAATAATTCTCATCTCAATCATCAGTTGTTTTTCTGCTGTACTGAAGCATCATGGGTTTGAAAAGAGGGTCTTACTTGGCACAAGCACCTTTGAAGGTTCCCATCAGAATGAATGCATTATTTACTTTAGGTAAAGAGTTTGTCAAGAAAAATACAACATTTGGCAAGCAAAAGCAGTACATTAGTTATCTGATACGCTTTACAGATGATCTATAAGATGCATTCATGGACAATTGCAATAAAACTAGAGTTTTATAAGGCCTAGCCAAGGCTATTATCTATTAAAAAGCCAGTTGTTCTTGAGAGATAATAAAGGGTGGTGCATTGGAAGAACATTGTTCATTTGCTAGAAAATTTGATAACACATATGTTCATTAAAAACCCTTTGTAGTGAATTGCATGCTTTTACTTTTCATCTTGGCCTCTAATTGCATTTAAAAAGAAGTTGGCGCTACCTATTGACTATTACTCTCGATTACAGTAGAAACTTAGTTCTTAAGGGGAGGTGGTTTGAGAACTTATAAAAAATGATTTCAAATATGTGCCCTGTTTTATAAGATGTATCAATTCAAGCTCATAATGCATTAGGATCCTGAGGAATCTTTCTTTCGCATCTGTGAGATGTAAGACTCAAGAAAATTAAATTGTACCATCTCGTGGCAACTGACCAATGTTGAGATCTTTTGTTCCTGCTTGTTCTTGAAATTTATTGTTTGATATCTGATTTCCTAAGAGGCTCACTGAACTTATGGGGCAGCTTAGTTGAAACTACAAAGTTTTATAAAACGTATCTATTGTCAAAGTGAACTATGGAAGCATATTGTGTTCACACAAGATATTAATATGTGTTTGTAGATTTAGTTTTGTCGTTTGTATTTTCTCCTCAAGGCTTGTATTCACATCACAGTTATTTGAACATTGGAGAATTTCCAGTCATTGAACAAGTTAGGTATAGAATTCACTTTTCAATTCAGCACTTATCATTATGGTGACAATAAAAACACTATTTGATCCAATAATATATTTCTGATCCATAAATTAACAGTTGAGGAATTGGCTGACATTTGGAGGTTTTGTGGAAACCAACTTCTCTCTCAGCATATATGGTATATACAATACATTCTAGTACTTCCATCTCTCTCTAAATAATAAGATTTAATATAGCAGCTTATGGGGGATGAGAGTAATATCTTAGGATAATTGGTCATTTGTTTCTTCTTTATGGGAAAGACTCGACAAGGCCACTTTATGAAAAGAACATGTTTTTGTTCAGAAATATCAGTAAAGAATGTAGAACTAAACATAAGTGAATTTCTTACTGTGTATAATGTGTTTTGATTAAATCTATTCCTCTATTCCCTCCCTTCCAGTTCCTCTCTTTTCTCCTCCACTAATTTCCCTTCCCAGTGTTCTGTATATGAGTACAGATTGCTTTAAAGCTGGATTAGATGTATGTAGCACATACCCCTGCACTTCTGGAAAGCATATGTAAACTTGGATATAATTCTGTTGTAGTAATAGAGAAACTGTAAGTTATTCTACATTAATCTGACAGAAATAGCTATTTTCAAATGTCTATCACTGTGTGTATATGAGACGAGATCTCACTGGGCAGCATTGGCTGGGGTGTAGAACTCAGTCTGTAGACCCAGCTGACTCACAGATAACTGCCTCCTCTCCTATGTTTAAAGGCATGCACCACCTTACCCAGTTCACATCAAAAATTGTATTAGAAGAGTTAATCTAAATACTTTACATGGAAATATTTTTTGTTGTTGTTCATAAAATAAAATCAGATTTTAGTAAGGTATTTTTCTAGATTGGAGACATAAGTTCAGTCATATTCCAGAGAGCCACACATTGTGAAGCAATTTAAATTCATAATCTAAAACGAACAGCTTACTTTTTTTTTTTGCTTTTGTAATTGAGAATGGAAGTTAGTCTAAGCTAATAGGATTTTATTCTTAATAATATTATTTTGCACTCATAATCAAAGAAAGTTTAAATATATCTGAGACATTTTAATTTGCCTCATTAATCTTTATTATGCCACATGAGGAATTCACGGCCAAACATCGTTTATTTAATATAAAACATCCACATAGGCAACAGCACTGCCCTACAGTTCCACCACAAATGAAGGCAAATCAAATATGGTCTCTCTTATTAAGCTAATATTAGGTCTTGTTTTAAAATGTAATATAGAGGGAGAATTATGATCAGGTACCTAATGGTTTAGGACAGATCTGTCCAGCTTACTGAAAGGTGTATGTGGAGAATAGATGAAGCTGATGGAGAGCCCTCAGCTGCAGGGGTCTTCCTTAACTAAGTTGTCTAGGTACTAAAAATTTGTGTTACAAATATTCATGTTGTTATATGATTTCATATTCTATTTTCCATTTTGGGACTTTGAAGTTTTTAAGTTCTAGAATTAAACAACAACAACAACAAAAAATCCAAAGGTTTTAGCTTCCTTATCATTTATGCCTAAGATATGTTTTCTTTCCGAGGACAGGAATCTTTAAAAATTACTCCAATGCAACCTGTTTTCTCTTTTGTTCTCTGGGTAGTGCCTATGATCAGAAGCCACATGTGGGAATGAGGCCCTCCAACCCCCCGACACCATCCAGTACTCCAGTGTCCCCACTACATCATGCATCTCCAAACACAGCTCATACTCCGAAACCTGACCGGGCCTTCCCAGCTCACCCCCCTCCTTCTCAGTCCATACCAGACGGCACCTACCCCATGGACCACAGGTAAGCGGCAGATGCCAATTCAGACAAGACAAATCCAAACTTCCACCAGTGTCAGCTTTCATGGAGGACATTACTCTTAGCTGCTGTGAAGATCTATAGTGTTTTAAGCTAAGCATATTAATTTAGCACATCTGTACAAAATAGTTCTAGTAAAGCTTGCCCTGTCTTATCTAAAAGAGAGTTTGTGGAGATTTCTTTTATAAACAATTAAATTGGCTGCTAACATGGAAAATCAATCTGTAGACTGACAATTGAACATTTCTCCTTCACTTCTTGAATCACTTCACTCCATCTTTACATCAGATCATGCTTCTCCATGAGCATATGTGTGCACTTGCTCTGCAAAGTTAGTAGACTGATTTTAGTAGGTGGCTTATGAAATTAGATTCATTACCATTCATTGAATTATTTGGTTCTCCATAGTCCAAGTCTACAGAATATAATTTACTGGATTAATCTGCGTGCTTTCCTTTTCAATGACTGTTTAATGTCAGTAGACCCATGACTGTGGACCCTGAGAATGTGCTTCAGAGACAGCCGCCAAACGACTGTCACTTAGAAATGAAGACGGAGAGGAGTGTGGAACTAGTGGGAGGGTGGTGGTAGGAAACTGCTGACTTGCAGAGATGAAGAAGTCCAAGTATAATACAATGCTGGAGGAAGTACTGCCTCAGCATGTGAGTTAGGACACAGGGTCCCTCTGCCCGGCTAAGTTCCTCCCGCCTACATTTCCCCCTATAACCAGTTCTGTCCCGGAAAATCTTTAACAATAGTCTCCATGGGAGAAAACAAGACCTTATCTGAAGTGTGTACTGAGTTGATGATAAAATAGACGTCGTGTGTGACTATCTTTTTGAGAGCCCTGAATACTAACTGAAAAGACACGTGTGTCACACTCCACTAGGTAGTATCTGTAGCCTGCATTCAGCTCTAAGAGCACAAGCAGGAGTGAAATCATTAGGAAATTCAGAGCTAAGAGTTTCTATTGCCTTTTAATGGAAACGTTGTATAATTAGATTCTTAATATAGGATTACATTAGCAATTGGTCCTCCCAAATCCCAAACATTTATCCATGAGCAGCAACCGTAACTGACTGAGGCACATTGCTGAAAAACAGCTGATTGAAAGGACTCCTAGTCCACAGAGGAAGCAGGTGAACCGCAGGCTAATCTGGATATATAAAGGGACACTTTATATCTCAGTCTCAAATACAGCCCCTCCTTGCTATAAAGGAACAGGATGAAATCGCACTTTCCCGTGTGAAGCCGAGTCATGTCTTCCTCCTTTGCCCCGGGACCCAGGGGCCCCATGCTAAATGCCTCCCGTTGCCTTTCCCTTTGCACCCGGTAGACTTGAGCAGTGTTTAGAGTGAAGGGCTGTGTGCGTCTGTGTAAACAGCTTTGTAAACACAGAGGAAAGAATGCCTATTGCAAGGTGGGCCTTTAAAATAGAAGCAAGCGCATTGTGCAGGACCAGAAAGAAACAGCCAGAGACATGCAACACCATCAAAGATGCTTTTGCCCGCTTCTGAAGACCTCCCCGAATTTGTCAGCACCAAGCCCCCCGCAATTCAAATGGGCACTGGATCATGGGTTCTATCGTCTGCCCTCTGCGCAGGCTGGTTATTTCTAAGGCAAGGGGACTGCTGAGTAAGTAGTGCGCTTGTTTTTAGATGACCTAACTGGAAATGCTTCAGCCAAATCCATTTTGGTATCTCAACTTGAAGTCAAGTACTTGAGACTGCGAACAGCCGGCCCGGAACTACCCGAGGGAAGCTCGGGGTCTTTTCCCAGTGCCCCCCAACTGAGTTTTGAGGACCGTACCAGCTGGCCAATCCCAGGAAAATCTCAGAAACCTTATGTTTCTGATGAGGATTTCTTAGAGGGCTCTGGCCAACAAATGGCAGTCCCTTGGTTATAAATGGCAATTTTGCTCTGGGAACAGATCCCTCCCCCAGATAGCCACCTCCAGCCCCGGCACCCCACCTTACTCTGGGAACGGTTTCTAGCCAGCTGGCCTGCACCCCGCTTCCTCCCCTCAGCCTCCCCACACACCTCAGGCCAGCCCTTTGGCACTTTTTCTTGAACCTACTGTGCAAGAGACCTGCCTGTTTCCCTCAGTGGTGCCCCCAGTGCATTGGCATACTGTCCTCCTCCACCACCAAACTTTCCTCTCCATCTCTCTCTCTTTCCCGTTGGTCAGTGGCTCATCAGAATGACACACAGACCATACATCTTGCTGGGAAGTGTGTCACCGACACAAATGTGGCCTCGAGCTAAGAACAAGTACAAATCAGGTTGCCTCGTAAAAGCAAGTGACTTGCTTCCATACAAAGCGTTCAGTACAGGCATCATTAGCTTCCTTTTAAGGCTTCACAAGTGAGCCGGCTTCTTATTTTATCTTCAAGTTACAATTTTCTGATTCACTCCTTGACAGTTCTTAATGATAATTTCTGTTTCTTTTTTTGGCTAATGAAATAAGCAAGAGAAGGGAAATGAATGCAGTGCCAGCCAGCCTTAGCTGTTTCACAATATCCAAGTTTCTAAGTTTATTTTGTGCAGGTGTAAGTGGAATTTCCGTGCTTTTCATGGCAGCCACCGGTACACCTAGAGTTAAGCCCTGGCATGGAGCATGCTTCAAAATGCTAAAGCAATTGCTTTGCCATTCTTTGGCTTTTACCTTATTTTCATTTAACATTACTGAAATTAAATGCTAAACTTTCAAAATTAAAGTCTCATGAATGCTTTTAGTGTGGGGGGGTTAATAGGTTGATATTTGCTTATGGATATGTTTTAGAGGTTATTTTTTAAGCACTCTGAGGCATTTTTAGAGTACTTTTAAATCTTTAATTAGTCCACATCTTTGTGGTGGGTCAATGATATTAGGGCTGAGATACACAGCACAAAACAATTGTGTGATTAGCCAATCGTTACCAAGAACGAAGAAGCTTGGGCCTCACTTCTAGCTCTCGGCCTAGGCCTCAGAGCTCCCTCATGCCCTCACAGGCCGGCTAACCCCAGACCTGCACAGCCTCTGTGTATTATTATCTTCATCTTTGGTGGTCGGCTCTGCACATACGCTTAGTTGTTAACCAACTCAATAGTTTGGAACTTGTGGAAGCCAGTATGTCCTGCGCTGCTGTTTGTCAGGACAGAGATAGTCTTTAAAAAAGAAACATAAGCCCTATAATCCCAAAATTTATTTGTTACAAGAACACGTTGTTAATTTGGACGCTGTTGAAGAATTTATGGGCCTGCTGATTTGAGAAGAGATTCGGTTCTCTCATGCTTCCCGCATTAGTGATGGCTATGGAAGAAAGCCAGGAAGTAGGTTTTTGTCTGGCTGCTGATTAGTTTGGTGACAGAATCCAAAGAGAAAGAATGCATTGGAGATCAGACCCTGTTGTTCCTGCTTTTTCTTATGTGTAATGATTTGAGAACCCTTTCTTCCAGAAGTTATGTAAATGATCCAATTAGTCTAAAATTGGTCATTTTAGCTGTTAGGGTTCATATTTATTCCAAACAGTTCATTGTTCTACAGCAACTGGCAGTACACCTTTAATTGCATGATCTGCTGAAGTGTTTGCAATGGATGGATTAAAAGGGGAACACACGTCATCATGTGATTTCAAAAATCATAGCACTACTGTTCTAAAAAACAGAAATCTAAGGTTCATTAAATCGCTTCACATTGGACCGTTTGGTATTAAACTGCTCCCTTGCAGTTAGGCATTGTATCAGTCCTTTCAAGACAAGTTTATGTTATCATCTCATCTGAAACACTCTCTCTTCTCCAGATTTCGTCGCCAGCTTTCTGAACCCTGTAATTCTTTTCCTCCTTTGCCGACATTGCCAAGGGAAGGGCGTCCTATGTACCAACGCCAGATGTCTGAGCCAAACATCCCCTTCCCACCTCAAGGCTTTAAGCAGGAGTATCACGACCCAGTCTATGAACATAACACCATGGTTGGAGGTGCAGCCAGCCAAAGCTTTCCCACTCCTCTGATGATCAAACAGGAACCCAGAGACTTTGCATACGATTCAGGTAGGCCTGTCCCTTGATGGAGTTCTATGTAAATCATCATTTCTCCTCCTCTGTCCATCTGATTACTGTTGTCAGACTGGGTGGCTTCTGACCACTGCTTTGAAAGTGGCATCTTCTGATTTTATCCCATATGGTTATCAAATGACTTGGCCATGTGATGGTGATCAAAATAGTGTCTGAAAATGAAACCACTTCAAAGAAGGTACAAAATATAATTTTACACACACTCAACCTAGAGCAGCAAATTATAATTTCTTTCTTGATCCTGTGTTTTCTTTTTTTTTTTTAATTTTGCTATGGTAATGTTATTTAGAACCAATGCTTGCAAAATAATAGTCTTTTATGTTAGGCATTTACACTTGATTACTTGAAAAATTGTGATTGTGGTCAAATATTCCAGTGGCCCTAAAGTAAGAATTCTTACACATTAGAAAGGGAACAGAGAAAAAAATCCAGGTTTCAGCTTCTTTCATAGGGTTCAGCTTTGTCTTAGAGAGCTAGAAAATTCTACTACATATCATCCATCAGAGGAAAGAGGTCTTCCTGAAGGTAAAGGAAGCTTAAAATTGACTTCGAGTGTTACTGCCAAGTTTGGCCATCATTTAGTTTGAGACTCGAAAACTTACTAACTCATCTCTATTGAGTTTTTCCTGCCATAAATCTGTGAAATTAGGACACAAGCTTTTTACACTTGTAGGTATTTTGAGAAGATGTGTCACATAAAGGGTAATTTTTATAAGGAGGGCACCGTACACCTGTACATTTTTATTACTAGCATTATTGTAGCTATTAGATGTGGAGATACTTGAGTTCATCACAATTCCTTCCATCCGGATTCAAGTGTATGGACATCCTTTATGGAAGAACTATTGTACCCACGCTAGTAACTGCTGAGTTCTGCTTGAGGGGCCAGAAAGCTGCTTCCAGGTTTTAAGTGGAATAAAACAACCTGCTTTATTATGAATGTCCCTTAGATTTCAACACAAGATGTCCCTGTGACTCGGAGGCTCTCCCTCAGCTTCTGTAAAGGACTGAGGACACTGACCACTCTAAAGCATGCCTCAACATCCTGGAAACACCGTAATTTCCCAACAACACTGTGTTTCCTGTCCGGCTGATACTCCTAGGGCCTGAGTACATTTCACCTCAGGTTTGGTTTCTTGAGGGCAGAGCCTCTGTTTGTGACCCTACCTAGGTCCAGAGGGCCTGACAGGGTCAGCTGTTTAAGAGAGCATGGGGGCAGAACCAGAACTGCCCTTAAAGTCTTTATGTCACGACTTGCTAGGTCTGGATAAGCATTGGGTTGAGGGATAGGAAGATGTGTGGCCTAGTTGCTGCAGAAACATTGGTTCTATCCTACTCCAGGGCTAACTTTAAGAGATTTTTTTTTAAAGCTATATTTATTTGGACTTTTGGGTTGTTTTCAAGGAAGAGGGGAAAAAAGAATAAATATCTATTTTGTAGATGGTTTACAATTTAGAAAAATAAGCCCGTTGAATGAGGGCTGGCATCTTTGAAACCTGAAATTCTTCCTAGGGATTTGAGTTTAGAGACTTTTCCTATCTGCCATTGGATCTCCGTAATTAAGTACCTTGTAAGCCAATGGATTTACTGTAGGTAGGAAACATTTCTCTCTGTGAATTTCAAATTCTGTTAACTGCTATTATGCTTATCTCTAACTGTATTTTCATTTGCTGCAGTACAGTTCATTGATGATTTTAAATAAGTACAGATAGAAATTATATAAATTAATACAAATAGTCAATCAATGGGACTTGTATAATATATTGAAGATTTTGTGGTTTTGCTATGTATAGTGCCAAAAAAAAAGAGTAAAATCAAACCTTTTTTTGTGATTCTGTGATTTGTTCCACATGTGTCTCCTCATGTTTATATTGCAAACACAGATATGCATAGTGTAGAATAGAGTATTTATACTATGTGAACCAAGCAGGGAGAAATTTAAGGAGTCTAATGAGGCAAAACTTTAAGGGGCGGGTCTTTAAGGGATAACTGCATTATCTGTGGGTCAAATACCGTGTGGATGTTAGAGTTGGCCACTGTGTGTGCCTCAAGAGCACAGTGCTTGCCCCTCCCGAGTTTCAAGTAAAGGTCCAGCATCCTGCTTTAAGTGTGGATGTCTCTCCTAAGTGTACCATGTATCTTGCAGCTGGCTTGTAAAATGCTACTTAACTTCTGAGAAGCTATTAATTTTATGCTACCACCCAATTATGTTTTAAATTGACACAGTTATCCAACATTTCTTAGTTCTAATTTCAGTTTTGCCTGTAGGTTTCAGCTTTATTTGAATAGCTAAATAGTAAAGATTGAGTTTTGGGGTATGAGTTAAAAGAAAGGACTTTGGGATATGATTTAGAAGAAAATCACTAATCTGTCGGTATCAAAATGCATTTTGCTGCTCTGAAGCTGATCCTTTGTATGTGTCCTTATTGCAACCAGCAAGGATGACCTCGGATATTTTGTTTGTGGTCATTAGCTCGCTCATTCTTCTTTCCCAAGAGCACATTAAACTACCTTTTAGGAACTCTAATGTATTTATCACTGAGTCACCACTCTCTTTCCTATTGGTTTTGAAACAGTAGCATATTAGAAAATACTTTATATGTGATTTTAAAACAATAAAAAATTGTGTTTTTCTAAGCAAATAATCTAGAATCTATGACACAAAGTTATCACTTCAGAGGGATTCTAGGATACTTTATTGGTTAATTCAATGTACTATAAATGTTGTGACAATAAAAGATGTCTTAAAAGAGAAAAGACAGCATGATTGTGCTCTAATAAAACCTGACATTAATTATGACATGGGAAATGGAAGGTCTATTAGTTATAATTATAATTACAGGAATGCAATTTCAACTGCCGAATATTTAAGATAAAAAATTCAAAATATTATGTTATTAAAGTAGAAATCTTTATTCAAGGGATGAGGCGGGTGGAACTTGGATCAGAAGACAGAGAAGAGAAACAACTAGATAGTCAGGGAGCCAGAGTGTTAGTCATACAATGTAGCAGTTACATCATGGTATTACGCTGGAAAGTTAATGCATATGTCTGTTCTGTAGATTTGTTCCTCTCCACTAGCCAGGTAGTGCTGTGTAAAAAACAAAAACCACATAGGTTTTTGTTTACTAGTTAGTTGCTTTCTGGAATTCAATGTATGTACAGCATTCATTGCCCAAGTGGCCACATAAAATTAAGATGTGTCGAGTGCCTCATTCTGAGTGCATAAAACAGTCACTTTAGGCAGCATCCCATTTCTGTGAGCTCCTTTGCCCATGTCTGTAACTATCTACATCACTTGAGAATGCCAATGAGACAGGTGTTTTATTATTCACCTTATATGTTTATTTTTGTGACAGTCTTGCTATGTAACCCCAGTTGAGTTGGCTCTCACCATGTTGACCAAGTTAGCCTTGAATTGGCACAATCCTTCCTCCTCAGCCTCTGGACTGCAGCTAGAATTGGTGCATGACCACCATCCTTACACATGCAGCAGATATATAAGACACACACACACACACACACACACACACACACACACACACACACACACATATATATACATATATATATATATATATATACAAATTTTTGCATGTATTATTATAGTTTACCTTAATCTGGATTAAGGACATCTATATGGGTTAAAGGCTCTCTCTGAGCTCTGGAGCTAGAATAGCGTCAACTGCTTTCAGATCTGGTGATATGCTTCCCTAATTTAGGAAAGAACGGATTTCACATGGGCCAGTGGTCGAATTTTACTCTAATTTCAGGTGCTCACTGCTTTGACGTAGCAAATTATCAGACCTCAAACTCTGTAAAAGACTAGGTTGTACTCCCTTCTTTCCTTGCTTTCATGCTTTTTTTTTTCCTAACAACTTTATCTCAAACTTTCTCTTTCCTTTTGAGACAGGGTCTCACTGTGTAGATCTGCCTGGTTTGGAATTCACGAGTGGACCTGGAAGTCAGTGAATTTACAGATAGCTGTCCCCCAAATGCTGGGATTAAAGCTGGGTGCCACCTTGTCTAGCTCCTCTAGCATTTTTAAGGATTGAGTTTATCAGCGGCTAGAGAGATGACGCAGCTGTTCAGAGTGCTCACTGCTCTTGCAGAGGACCTGGATTTGGTTCCCAGCACCTTCATGGCAGTTCACAGTTGCCTGTAGCTCCAGTTCTAGGGGATCCGAAGTTGTATTCTGGCCTCTGTTGACACTAGGAACACATGTGGTGAAGGTACATACACATTAAATGAGAACAATCTTGAAGGAAATCCAGAAGAAAAGAGTTGACTTTATCAATAAGGTGGCTCTTTATAAAGTTCTCCTGCAAAAGCTCAATAATTAGAAGAAAGAGAGCAAATTAATGGCCCACTAGCTTCAAGTCCTTTGTATGAATTTGATTTTGCCTCAGTTCTCTTACCAGACTTCCCACTTTTTGAATATCCTGATATGTGAGGCATACAGTTAAACCAGAACAGAGGACTTGAGACTTCTGTCAGCTGGGTTCACTTTACTTGAGCAGGCTTATGAGGTACTGCAGAATCTGAAACAGATGTAAGAAAACTCTTCGAAGAATAGCACGTCTCTTTTCTCATTCTTCATTGCAAACCTTTTTTCTTTCCATCCATTTTTACCTGGGCAACCTCTCTTATATTCCACATATATTTATTACCTTAGAAAAACGTAAAGACTTATTTTCTGTCATTAGCTAGTAAAAATATGATATGTAGGCAGAGAAATGGGAAAATGAATACTTCCAAAATATTTACCTCATGTTTAATATGTTAAAACTAAAGTATGTTTTATGTTTCTACTGTCAGACCTGACGTATATGTCTATATTCCATTGGGCCTTCGTTGGCACTTTAACAAAGGGCTCTGAGTCCTCTTCAGTTTCAGAAATGGGGCTAGTGGAGGATTCTTGTGTTGTGAATTCTGTTCTGTGTTTTGCTGTGCTGGTGGATCATCATCCTGAGCAT